AAACTACACAGCCAGACCCTGTCTCAAAAAAAAAAAAGACTTAGGAAAGATAGGCGCTAGGGTCTTCTTTTTGTCTATAATAATAACTGCTAACCCCAACCCACCACTAGGCACTCCTCTAAGCACTTAACATCAACTTAAGTGCCTCTAAGCACTTAACATCCATTACTCAGTTAATTCCCACAATATTCTATAAACTGAGAAGTATTATGATACCCATTTTATAGCTAGGAAATTGAGTTCAGGCAAGGTAAAGAATCTACTTAAAGTTGCTTTGCTATGAGCAGCTGACCCAGGATTTGAACCCGGGGGAACTCTCTAAGGTTTTTGTTCTCCACTTTGCCCCAAACGGGTTATAAGAGGTGGGCAGCATCCAGGATTTGCTGTCTTCCTGATCTTTTCAGTACCGTTGCCCTAAGTTTTCAATCTCCAGGGTAGAGCTGGCTCTATCTCATCTATATAGTGCCTGAGAGCTTGGCGTGATGGCACATGCCTGTAGTCCCAGCACTTAGGAAGCTGAGGTAGGAGGATTGCAGGGAGTTTGAAGCCAGCCTGACTACATTGTGAGGCCCTGTCTCCCAAAAGTAAGACAAACAAATAAAACAAAACAACAGCGTCTGCTTCCAGGACTTACTCTAAGAAAATGAACTCTTTATACAGAGTTTTAAATTTATTCAATAGGCTAGAACACCTCACTTGGAGGTGTTTAATTATTGTTTGATAGGAGTCATGATTTTTGTTTTGGGATGAATTTATGGGTACAAAAATTTAGTCTCTTGATTGGTGTGGCTGGATTCCTAGAATATGGCTGCCCTGGAGTCTTTGTTTGCAGTCTTGGTTCTCCAGTTTCACTCTTAGTTACGGTGAGGAAGGGAGAAGAAAGGAAAAGTCACTCCTCTAGTGACAACTCTAAGGGGAACTCTAAGGGGAAAGGCTGCTAAATTCTTTTCTGAGGGGAAACTGGCCTCAAAGGCCTGAGGCTGTGGGGCTGACCTGAAAGTTGGGATGGGCCAAAGCTGAGGAGTCATTTGTTATTTCACCTCTGTTTACTCTAGCATTAATAAATATAAGGAGGGCCTCTGGGAAAGTTTTCTATTTTGGTTCAAAATTTAGACTTAGACTCAAAACATCTCCAAGACATATATGTTCACTATTTTTTAATACTTTTCGGAGGACAAAGCTCACGGTAGTCCTGAGTAGGGTACAGTTATCTCTTCCAGACCTCTACTATGACATCCTGGAAAAATCCTCCTGCCTGAGCCTCATGCTTGCTCCACTTCCGAGGCAGACCACTAGCCCTAAGCCTTTTTAAATCTACCTTTTGAAGTATGTTGGATCTAGGGTGAGTTGCAGTGTATTTTTTATGTGAAAATAAATTTAATTTTATATAGTGTTTAAACTATTTTCTGAGTAAATGTCCATTAAATAATAATTTTTAAAAACCCATTCCCTTTGAACTAGTCTTCTATGGATGAAAAATGCGTTTCATTCAATATTTCTTCATAGGTTCAATTTACTGAAAAGTCAGTGTACTTATCTCTACAAGCTTCAGAACTTGTCTCAAAAAGGAAAAATAAGCAAATTTCTTTTGGGTTAGAATCAGCTGCAGAGCCTGCATAGCATGATGCCTGTTGTGCAGCAGGCCAGGTCAGTCATAGTTTGCTGGGGGACTCTGGACAAGCCATTTAATTTTCCTAAGTCATTGTTTCATTCTATGTGAAATCAATCTAATAATGATATTTTCCTTATAGAGGCAGGTGAAGATTAAATGAAGAACCTACGCAGCTCCTCAGGGCTTGTGCTTAGGAAGTACTCAGTAAATATGACCCTATCATTTTTTTGTTGTTATTTGCTCACGGAATGTCTAGGACAAAGAGGCACTTAGCTGCTAGTTTATGTAAGATCTGTCACATAGTTAAGAATATGTTCTGTAAGTTGTGAACATAATGAAGCAGTCACTCGTGGACCTACTATTCAGTGTGAGTAAACTATTACAACTGTTGAAATACTTTCAAGTTCCTTTCTTTTTTTATCGGTACCGCAGATCAAACTCACGACTGCCTGCTTGCAAGGCAGGCACTTATGCCACTGAGCTAAATCCCCAGCCCCCCAAGTTCCTCTCTTAATTGCTTCTCTTGTCTTGCCTCACCTGGGATCCCCACCTAAGATCGTTTTTTTTTAAGGGAATGCCCTAAATGATATGTTGAATAATTTTTCTAGTTTTTGAGCTTCATTAAGTGATAGTACGTTACGTGAGGGCTTCTGTATTTCTTCCTTTCAATTCTAAGATTGATTTATTCATGCAGTTGATACAGCTTTATTCATTTTTAGTGCTGTATAATAGTCTACTGCACTCAAATTTATCCATTTTCTTGTTGGTGGACATTTTTGTTGTTGATATTGTTTTGCTACCAAAAATAGCCAGGTGTGATGACACACATTTGTAATCTCAGCACTCCAGAAGCTGAGGTAGAAGGTCATATAGCTACATAGTTAATAAATAATGTAAAAAATGAAAACTGTGCACTGTGAATATTCTAATATAAGTGCCCTGACATATACATATAAGTTTCTCTAGAATATATGTTAGAGTGGTGGTGTGGAGTCACAGGATAATTTTCAGGATAATTTCAAAAGAAGTTGTAAGTCTCTTTGATTTTGATGACTTTCCTGTTTCCTCATATCAAGAAAACAAAACAAAATTTAAAAAAAACTTTGAAGAAGATTGTGACTGTGTGTATGAATGGCTATTAAACACATAACATACCTTATGATATAAATGTTATTAATATATTAAACCAATCTCAATAGAGAAGCAGAAGTGGACTAGGTGTGGTGGCACATGCCTGTAATCCCAGCACTTGGGAGGTTGAGGCAGGAGGACCTCCATGGGTTTGAGGCCAGCCTGGGCTGCATAGTGAATTCAAAGCCAGCCTAAACTACACAGTCTTAAAAAACAAACAAAAAAGTGGACAAGTGGAATATAACATTAATTTAATCACTATTTTATGGTATTTTGGTGCTGTAATTAATTCTTACAAATTTAGGAAGTATGATTTTCACTAATTTATGGGTTAGAATAACTAAGGCTAAAAGTATAAAATTACTAGTCTAAAACTATGTAGCTGGTGGCAGAGTTGTTCAAACAGGGTATGGTTCTGTTTCATAGGTGTTTTTAGAGACTTTGGACACATTGCTAAATTACAAAAGATTCTGAACCCTTAAATCCCTGTGGGGCATCTCTCTTTTAGTCTGTGAGTCAAGAATTCATGTCTTTATCCAGAAGTACCCATTTTGAGATAAAACTAGCTCAGCAGAAGAAAAGTTGATCAAAAAGTTTTTTTTTTTTAATTGGAACTGAAACTTAGGACCTGGTGCTTGCAAGGTAGGTACAATGCCTCTCAAATAGATATTGGTTGTTTCTGGAATGAACTAAGACTTGAATTTCAGAGCTAGTGAAGATAAAATGAACATAAACTTGGAGCTCCAAAGAGGAACCCATGGCTAAGACCACAGGGCATGTTGTCATTGTCAAGTAAACCTCTTTCCTCATTCTCTTCCTTTTTAGTTCAATGCACCTTCTTCTAAAAGTATTACTGGATGCAGGAACTAAGTTACTTAGGATACAATCCTGAAAAAGGCCTATTCTCTATCCTTCAGGAGATCACAGTCTAAGGAGAGGCAGATATATACAAAATATATAATTATTTATATATATAAATATATAATTATTTATATATAAATATATAATTTATTTATAAATATATAATTTATTATATATATTTATATATAATTAATAAATTATATATTATTTTATAATAATATATTATATTTTAAATATATTACATTAAATAGATTATATTTTATAATAAATTATATATTATATTTATATAATTAATAATTATATATAAATAAATTTATATATAATTAATATAAAATATATAATTCAATCCAGATGAGGAGGTAATTAATTCTGTAATCCTAGCTATTTGGGAGACTGAGGCAGAAAGCTTGCAAGTTTGAGACCAGCATAGGCAACACAAAAAGACTCTGTCTGAAAAAAAAAAAGTGACTTTAAAAATTCAAGGTAGAATGGAATACAACAATGGACTAATAGTTACATAGATATGTCTTAAACCAAAAAACACCAGATTTAGGAAGGCATATTGAAGTTGTTACAGTAATTTAGCTTGTGCCAATTTAAACCATTAGTCTTATCTTCTTGTTGGTGAAATGACTATCATTATATTTACCTTTATCATTGTAATCACAAAATTGTCTTGCAGACTACTGACAATGTAATAACATGATTTTATGTTTTGTTTTTGGTATTGGGGATCGAACTCATGACCTCACACTTGCCAGGTAGGCACTGTGCCATTGAGCCATACTCCCTGGCATTTTTGGTCTTTTTGAAAAAGTCTCGCTATGCAGTTCAGGCTGGCTTTGAGTTCACTGTGTAGCTCAAGCTGGCCTCCAACTGGCGGCAAGTCTCCTGCCTCAGACTTCTGAGTGCTGGGGTTACAGGTGTGTGCTCCCACGCCCCTCTTGATTTTTAAAGTTCTAATATTCTTCCATTACAATCTTTAAAATACCACATACTTTTACCTGTGTCATGCTTTCCAGTCAAACTCAATAAACACAAAACATTATCAAGAGAAGTGGGTTTTAAACATGATCCTGCTTTCTCAACAGGGAAGTTTACGAAGACAAGATGAACAGTTAGCAAACGTGTGCAGGAGGGGCTGTTTGGGAAACAAAGTCCCGTCAAGAGGTAGGAGGCTAAAAGGAAAGCTCCTGCTAAGCTTTAGGGGGCCGATTTGGTTCGCAACGCGAGTCAAAATTTCGCCACACTGACAGGCACACCACATCCATTCAGAGACCGCCCAGCCCACCGCAGCGGGCGGGGAGTCGTAGCGTATCTAGCCTATCATCGCTGCAGACACTGACAAAACTCTCTTCTTCATTGGCCAGTGACTGGATGACGTCATGTTCTCCTGGCCGGGGAAGGAAGATTGGTTGGCGCTGGAGCAGCGGGTGGTGGTGGGGCATGCATGGTCTGGGTTTCTAGTTCGGGCTGGACTTTTTCCTTCCATGTTTTCATGCCGTGGGGAGCTGTGCGGTGCGGCGAGTGGGCTCAGTAAAAACCTGATTTGATTCGAAGAGCCGAAGGATTGTTTCGGGGTGAAAAGGGGTGACCGGAAGCGATCTTAGAACTGACCGGAAACAGGGCCTGGAGGGGAAAGAGCTGGTCCCTAGAGGGAGGGGGCTTCCCGCAGAAGGGGCAGAGGACGGTGGCGGGGCGGCTGGAGCGCGGAGCGGGCTGCCAGTCGCTGCTGCGGCTGGTCTGGAAGGCGGTGAGCAGCTGCCGCGAGCGAGGGGTATAGCGAGCTCGAGCTCAAGGAGCAGAGCTCAGAGCCCACCTGTCTCTGGGAAGTCTGGAGGAGTTGAGCTAGGGGCGCCTCCGGCTCCTGAGTGCCGGGCAGCAGGTTTTGTGGAAGCCGGAGCAGCCGCGAGAGTGGAGCTGCGGGCACGGGCGATTGTTAGCTGTGCGGCCAGGCAGGTCGCCCGTCGGAGTGGCCGGTGGGGACTGACTGTGTAGCCTTGGTTTGGAGTTTTGGACTCTCCTACCCCTCTGGGGGTAGAATTACGCTCCGCGCCTTTGTACCAGGAACGGTGTCCGCTGGGGCAAGGAAAGAGCCAGGATGGCCTGGGCTCTGAAGCTGCCTCTGGCGGATGAAGTGATTGAATCCGGGCTGGTGCAGGACTTTGATGCCAGCCTGTCCGGGATCGGCCAGGAGCTGGGTGCTGGTGCCTATAGCATGAGGTGAGTGAGATTTTCCTAATTCCACCTTCTGGATGAGAGAGGCAGGGTAGAGAATGTGAGAGGCCGAGGGAAAGGTGGATAAGATTAGAAAGGCAGTCTGCAGGTGGGACGAAGGGACTTTTTGTTGGCTGAGTAGTGGGTGTTGTGGAAGAAATGGAAAAGCTTGCAGGGAACGTGAAGTCTGTGCAGGGCCCGTGGAAGGAGGGAGGGAGAGGCCGGGGGAGCGCGGAGAGGCTGGGGTGCTGACGAGGTCTGGAGACGGATGAGTGCGCGGTGAAGTGCGGACTCTGGCGAGGACGGTCGGGCTCAGTGTGTGCGTGTTTATGTGGAGGCGGATCAGGCCAGGGTCGGTGAGTTGTGAGCTGGGGCTTCGCGAGGAACATCGATTGGCTGCTTGTCGGAAATAAGTGGGAACCTGGGGGAAAGAAGTCTTCGTCATTTACCTCCCCGCTAGTCCATTTTTAAAAGGCTTCACTTAATTCGAGGAAAAGCGAGCGGCAAAGAGAACTTTTAGATGTTTCTAGACCTTCATGTATCAGGCCATTTGTTAATAATAGACAATAAATCTCCTTGAAAAGAGCGTTATACTTGTGCTGCATTGGCTACTTGGTTCCCCCGTGTGTGGAAATGTCGACACATCTGCATTTTAGGGCTAGCTGGGCGGTAACTGGGGTTCTAAGGCCTTAGGAAGGTCCTTCTAAACAAGAAAATAAAGAGACTTTGGAATCGAACACTTTCATTGGCTTTATGAGTTAGTAGGGGGAAGGTGGGTGCTTTTTGGGGGGCAAAGTTGACAAAATTTTCATTCTGGTATTAAGATCCCTTGAAAATTATGTAATGTGAAATTCCTATATCCCTGCTGATTCCGAGTGGGCTTTCCTCAGAGAAATACAATTACGAGTTAAGCCTCACACTTAAACATTAGTATTCTTTGGTTACGGTTAGAATAATAAAGTATCTTAACTATTTTAGTGATTTTTCAGTGAAATTTGTTGTTACACATTTCTCTTAGTCTTGAAAAATTTAACCCTAGTTTTAACTTGAATGGGTCCTTGTTAAGGTAAATTTGACTGTAAAAAGAGATTAACTTGGTCTGAGAGTAAGTGCTCTGGCCTTGAACTTGGTCCTAATGTTTGGCAACTTACATATTATTATTCATGTGAAGAGTACCACAGCAAAAAGTTTGATTTTGTTGAGGTTGCTAGAATTTTGGATAGAAATAACAAATATAACTCTACCTGTAATACTTATCATTAACAAAATAGTTTAGTAGCAGTAAACATTTGTTCATCTGCTACATGAACTGTGTTATGCTGTGCATACCATGTGACCTTCCATTTAAGAATATTCATAACAAATTTTGGTGATCTTCACAGGTATTATGCTTGTACATTTACACATTTGGAAATTTTTTTCCAAATCAAATTCTTTTCCAGTTTTCAAACATGGCTTTATAAAACTGGGTGTGGTGGTACACACTTGTTATCCCAGCACTTGGGAGGCTGAGCAGGAGGATTGCTGAGAGGTTGAGGCCAGTCTGGGCTACATAGTGAGTTCAAGACCAGCCTGAGTTACACAGTGAGACCCTGTCTCAAGAAAAAATACCACTTTATAGAAAACATTTATTCTGGAAAGTACATCATGCCAAAATTTTAAGTACTTTATTCATCTTCTTAGCATGTATTTTTTTGACTTGTAATGCATGTTTAATCTTGTGTATTAATTGGATATTATCAAACTTTAGTGTTCAGAAGAGTCATTTAGTGCTTGTAAAATAAACTCATTTTTACATTACTTACAGTATTAAAAGTTCCTATTTCTTCACATCATTACATCATTTAATTTTCCATTAAAATTGTTTTGTTCATTAAAAGAATTATTATAACTGAATGTGCTAGTGAATACGCATTTCTCTTAGTCTTGAAAAATTTAACCCTAGTTTTAACTTGAATGGATCCTTGTTAAGGTAAATTTAACTGTAATCCCAGCAAAGGGAGACTGAGACAGAAGAAATATTGTGAGTTTGAGGCCAACCTTGGCTACATAATGAGTTCAAGGCCAGCCTGCACTGCATAATGGGAAGCTGTCTTAAATAAAAAACCAAAAAATTATTAAAGCAATCCTACAGTTGTGAAGTAGTATCTTACTGTAGTTTCTTCTCTGTCTGTGTCTTGCTCTTCCTTTTTTTTTTTTTTTTTAAATTTTTTATCGGTACTAGGGATCGAACTCATGACCGCCTACTTGCAAGGCAGGTGCTTATGCCGCTGAGCTAAATCCCCAGTCCCATCTTGCTCTTCCTTTCTTTCTCTTTTTACAGAGTCCTACTCTGTAGTCTAGGATGGTCTTGAACTTGGAACAATCTGCTTTAACCTCAGTGCTGGGATTGCAGCCCTGCCATTTGCATTTTATTATAACTAACAATGTTGAATATCATGTGTTTGTTGAATATCATATATTTATATATATGGTTTAGCGAGGTATCTATTCAGGTCTTTTGACCAGTTTTTAATTGAGTTGTGTTTTTTTTTGTTGTTGTTTGTTTTGTTTTGATCCTCCTAGCATAGCTTCCCAGAGTGCTAGGATTGTAGGTGTGTACCACTATGCTTAGTTTTTTTTTTTTTTAAATAAGCTCTCATTATAGTTCAATTTGGCCTTGAATTCACTATGTTACCCAGGCTGGCCTTAAACTCGCAGTGATTCTCCTGCCTCAGCCTCCTGAGTGCCTGGATTTGGGGTTACAGGCATGTACTACCATACCTGGTTCAAAGTATATTCTTATTTCTCTAGTGATTTCCCCTTTTTATCCATTAGGTGTTTAAGAGTATATTGTTTAGTGCTCATATCAGCAGCACATACTTGAAAATTGTTAAGACATTTGATTTTAAATGTTGTTATCATAAAAAAGTGCTGTTGTGTGGTTATGCACATATTAATCAGTTTGATTTGGACTTTGGTTACTCTGACATCACATTATGTCCCTAGGCTTTGTTCATTATTCTTTTCTAATCTTTTCCATGAGTACTTTGAATTGTCTTGCCTTCATGTTAGCTGTTTGTTTCTTCTGTCTCCTGAGATCTGCTGTTAAACCATTCTGGCGAATGGGTTTGTTCTTGTTGCTGTTTGTGTTTTGAGACAGGATTTCACCATGTTGCATAGGCTGACTAAACTGGCAGGTCTCCTGCCCCAGCCTCCCAAGTAGCTGGGACTGTAGGCACACCACTGTGCACAGTCTGCTAGTGAGTTGTAGGCGTTTAGGCTGGGGATTTAGCTCAGTGGTGTAAGCACCTGCCTGGCAAGCATGAGGTCATGAGTACAATCCCCGGTACCAAAAAACAAAAACAAACAAACAAAACGAATTGTAGGAGTTTAGCTATTGTACTTTTTGTCCAGAATTTCTGTGTTGTCCCTTTTTATAGCTTTTGATGTGTTTTATGATACATCATTCACCTGATGTCCTTTACCTTTTTAAAAAATTTTCCGTAGCTCTTTCAGCATAGTAAAGATAGCAAATTAAAGTTGTTGTCTGGCTAGTAAGTCTGGCTTACCCAAGGGTCGCATCCGTCAATTCCTTCCCTTTCTTCTTGTCTTCCTCCTTCCCTCCCTTCCTCTGGTCTTTCTTTTTTTCTGTCCTACTTTCTTGTTGCCTCATGTGCTTTGTAAAGTCTTGGGAAATGAGCATTTCTGTGCATCTTTATGTCTTGGCTCTGTAAATGAGACTTTGCTGTCTCCCTAAGGTAACTGTTACTTGGTGAAGACTGTAGCCATTTGTTTAGTGACTTTTCCAGTTTTTTTTTTTTTTTTTTTTTTTTTTTGAAATAGGGTCTTGCTATATAGTTCAGGCTGGCCTTAAACTCATGGTGAGCTTCCTGCCTCAGTCTCCCAAGTGCTGGGGTTACAGGAATGCACCACTATGCCTGGCTATAACCTCAGTTGTTAAAGGACAGGTCCTCTGTTACTCACTGTAGCACTAGCGAGCTGCAGTACCATCTTGGGCCACTGTCCCTGCCGCTCCTGTCATGGTGCTAGGAGCTGGAAGCTGACAGATGTTATGCCAAATGCTGAAATTTACCAACCTTTGCTTCATCATCCACTTTTTTTTCTCGAATGCGGTAAATGTGTGATTAGACTCTGGAGTTCTAGAATAGTTGCTCCAAATAGCTGGATGTGGTGGTATAGGTCTGTAAGAGGCTGAGACAGGAGGATCACTGTGATTTTAAGGCCAGCCTGGGTTCAGAGTGAGTCCAGAGCCAGCCTGAACTACATAGCTAGACCCTTTCTCAGAAAAACAAAACAAAACAGTTGCTTCCCATGCCAGCAGTTGTTTTAGTGATGGGACCAATTCCTGGAACTTTCTAGTCTGTTAACTTTTATGACCTCTGACCCTTTCAACAACCTTTTGATTCATTTGGTCCTACTTCCGGTCCTACATACTCTGCCTCCCCTACCCAGTCTGTGCTCTACACAGAAGCCTTTGTAAAGGCCTGTGTGTTCTGTTTACTTAAAAAATCACCTTAGCCTCGCATTTTCTGCACTTGTCTGGAGCTGGCCGCTCCCTGCATGTAGCACCCAGTGAGATGTGCCAGGCAACCACAGTGGACTTGGGCAGAGTAGTGTTGGCCAGGCTGGAGCTGCTACTCCTGGTACTGCTTCTACCCATTCATAGTTATTCAGCCAGTATTTCATCTCAGTAAATACACTCAAAATGCCTCTGCTGCCCCAAATCCAACACACGTCATCACCAAGGAACGTGGCAGTGCCCTGTAGGCAACAGCCAGTCTCCTTGTGGTCTTGATGTCTCCATGACACCAAGAGCTTCCGTGATCTGTTTAAATGTGTAGTAGGAGGAACTACCAGATGTTCTTGTAAATCCTTAATGTACCCTTTCAGTAGTAAGGATTCAGTGCTGAGTTAGTCTTGAAAAATGTTCACATTGTTGTCACTTTTGTCTTGAGAACTGAACTTTTTTAAAACTTTTTTGTCTTTGGACTTGACATTACATT